TTTGTTTTTTTTCACATACTCTCTAACACTCTGCAAACATTTGTATCCTCGTGGCTTTATTGCTTTGCTTGGGGTGAAATGATTAAAAAATAAATTCGAGGTAATAGATTCAATTTAATATTTTCAATAAGCAAAATACTTTGGTTGATATCAAACCAAATTTAAATTGATAGGAATCTTCTTTTTTTTTCTTATCAGTAAAATTGGTAAATTCATCCATATTGACAAATCTGTCAACACAAAATCATTCTCATTGTTTTTCAAGGAAACTCTCAAAAATGTATTTGTTCAAGATGAACAAAATAGAGTTTATCTGCTGATCGACATGAATGCACTATGTGATCACAATATTTCTAAGAATTAACAAAGTTTAGTATATATGAAATTCTGTAAATAGAAACTGAAAAAAATTTGGCATCTTAGAACATCTGTTATCCCAGTAATAATAGGAGCACTTAGAATGATTAAGAAAGAAACAGAGAAATTTCTGAACATTATACCTGGAAAACATTCTTTGCAAGACATCTAAAAAATATTGACTGACACTGTATTATAGAGGGCACTGTTAACCGAGATACTGGCAGGATGTGGCCAACGATTTTGTGCAGATTTTGTTTGCTGAATGCTTTGACTTAAGAGTGCAACCATTACCCATTTTTGCCCCAGAGGCCTATCTGGCACTTGGGAACTAAAGTACCAAAGAATAAATTTTAAAAGAAATTTTTTTTGTTTTTTTTTTTAACAATAATAATAAAAATATCATCAACAAATTCAGTCCCAACTGAAACAAATTGCCAAAGAAGTAGCTGAAAAGAATGACTCCCATAATTTTACCCTACATCAAAACGCTGAAGAAGCGCAATCAAAACGCTGAAGAAGCGCAATCAAAATTCTCACCAAACATGAGTAAAGCAATCACAAAAAATCCAGTTACCATAAATAAAATAATATCATTTGCTGGATTATTTTTTAAATTATTAAGAGAAAAGATTTGTAAGACAGGGATTTAGCTATTTCATAATAACAACAACAATAATATTATTAATAATATTATTAATAATATTATTAATAATAATTAAAAAGCAAGAAATTCAGGAAGTGTACGCTTATTGACATAGCAGTACCATGAGAGAAAGTATAAAGATGTGGAAGTATCAAACCTGGAAAAATGTGAAATTGGAAACGAAACTTGTACCAGTCATAATATGTGAGCTTGATAAAAAATGGAACACAACAACACAATGAAGAAATCCCAGCTTAAGAGAAATACCGAAATTGTCTTGCAAAGTACAGCCCACACACTAAGAAGAACTTTGTCTATGTAATGCTAGTGATATTATGAGAGTTAGAAAAACAAGTCATGAAATGTAGCCATAACAACTCCAGCAGACATGGTAGGTAGGTGACCATAGCAGAAATTGAAATATAATGAATATAAATATATATATATATATATATATATATATATATATATATATATATATATATATATATATATATATATATATATATATATATATATTTATATAGTTTGATTAATTCTCTTCGTAACTATTCAACTAACAGAAAATTCCAAGTTGCATGTCTTCTTGCTGGCAACCTTTCATTTAATTGATTACTGGTACAGCTGGGTTTTTTTCATTACAAGACAACCAATTTTAATAAATATATATATTTTTATACTTGAAAAAAAAAAAAAAAAAAAAAAAAAAAAAAAAAAAAAAAAAAAAAAAATTTGAATAAATTGAAGACAAATATAGTCAAGAAATACTGTAAAACATTGTGTTTTTTTCTTTTCTTACATGGTTTTAAGTACATTATTTACATTATTCAGACTATTGTCCTAATCTTTGTCACCATATTTATTATGTTTCAGCTGTTGTGCACTCTGGCCTTCTTCAGGTGGTTAGAATATCGAACTTAACCCTTTATTTCGCTCACTGGGGCAGACTGTTCTATTTCAGAGGGAAATTAACAGGAGATAACTGATAACTGACATCCATTAAACATGGCACGTGGAACTAGAACAGTCTACCCCAGTGAGCAAAATTAAGGGTTAAGTTTGACATTTCAACCACCTGAAGAAGGCTGGAGTGTACAACGGCCAAAACGTAATAAATATGGCGACAAAGGTGAGGACAATAGTCCGAATAATGTACATAATATCTCATCTCAAAATATAGACAGATGGTTTTAAGTGGTGAAAAATATTGGAACGTTACATCAAACAATATTATTATTAAGAATAATAATAATAATAACATACATACTTGCTGAATGTCTCAAGTTGACACAGGAGACGTATAAGCAACATCATGATTGGATTGGTAACAGACTCTGAGAAGTATGCTCTAAGTTTAGTTTCAGTGTATAAGAAAAATAGTAGGAAGATCGAAGTGATTGGTAGAAAATGACAGTCACAAGATGTGAGATTTCTCAGTTCAGATGGATCATGTCATTGAAGCACAAAGACCTGAACTTATTGATATAGGTAAGAGGAATAGCAAGTGTCAAATTATTGACTTTGCTATTCCACAAGATACGAGAGTGGACTCCAAAGAAACTGAAAATATTGAAAAATACCAGGATCTGGGCAGGGCGTTGAAAAAACTAATTCCTGTAGTAATGAGCGTGCTTGGAACATCCCCTAGGAAATTGAAAGAAAATTATGGAAAATTGGAGTGGAGACAAAGATTTTAGCCCTCCATAAAACTGATATAATTTACTCTGCGAGGATTCTTCAAAGTTCTTGAGTTACGAGCAGTTCTCATAACAACATGCCTCAAAAAACAGAATTTCCATTTGACTATGTCAATGTGCAACACGATCATAACATTAGTAATAATAACATTATTAATAACAAACTAAGACCCTTCCCAGGTTCAACCCTACAAAGAACCGTAAAGAAAACATTATGTTAAAATCAAAAGACATCATTGCCATAAAAAGAAAAAAAATTCAGTCAATGTTTGTATTTTGTCAGCTTCGGTATCTGAAATTGAATAACAGCATTGATCTCATTGCAACTCTTACTTTATTACTTGCTTTATTCCATATTCTTGCTTTTTTACCCCAAAACTTTGGGTCTGTAGACACATCATAATCATCATTATTTTATTAGTTGTTGTTTCCATATTATTTAGGTGAAGTGGTTGGAAGTAGAACAACTGATATGAACAGTTATTAAATCACCAAGTTCTTCGCAATGAAACTAGTTTATTCAACCATTAATGAAAGATAAGATGCCAAAGGGAGTTTATTGGTAGGGACTGAATTTCTAGATCATGATTATTAAACAATTGTGACAGATGAAGTTAAGTAAAAAGAAAAGTGTCAAGAGAAAAAAAATTGGGCAAAAATTAATAGAAAGATTGTTCCAGTGTCATTTCTGAGAGACTGGGATTTTATGTTAAAAATCATTTATGATGTTATATATATATATATATATATATATATAAAGAGAGTGGGGGAGAGAGAGAGAGAAACAGTGGGGGGAGATAGGAAGGAACAAACACTAGGGAGAGAAAAAAAAACTAAACACAAGAGAAAAGCTATATATATATATATACGAGAGGGGGAAGTGAAGATAGAGAAATACAAAGAGAAAAGAAAAACTTGGAGAAAGAACAGACTAAAGGAAAGAAGGCAGAAAGAACAGACTAAAGGAAAGAAGGCAGAAAGAACAGACTAAAGGAAAGAAGGCAGAAAGAACAGACTAAAGGAAAGAAGGCAGAAAGAACAGACTAAAAGGAAAGAAGGCAGAAAGAACAGACTAAAGGAAAGAAGGCAGAAAGAACAGACTAAAAGGAAAGAAGGCAGAAAGAACAGACTAAAGGAAAGAAGGCAGAAAGAACAGACTAAAGGAAAGAAGGCAGAAAGAATAGACTAAAGGAAAGAAGACAGAAAGAATAAAAAGAAGGAGATAAGCAAAATGTTGTAGAAAAGATTTCAACAAACCGTCCAGCAAGAAAATGTTTGCTCTGTTCACATGTCACAATCTTCTGATGACAAATTCAAAATTAAATTTATGTACCACTTACCTACAAAACAAAACAGAAAGAAAGCATTAGAAAAGACACCAAACCAATAAAAATGGAAAAGAAATCTCTTAAATTTGAATCCAGATTGATAGGTTTTATTCATAAAATTGGACAGCAGTAAATACAATCTTTATGTGACAGCATAAGAAAAAACAGTTTGTATTATAAGTTAGATTTAAAAAGGCTTAGCTTAAACAAGGAAATTATCATTATTGGCAAAATGTGTCATATATTATCTACCAAAGAGGACTCCTGCTATACAACTCAGGGGAGCAAAATAGTCAGCCAGTGCCATTTTGCCCATGATACAGAGAGAATACAAATTCAGTGCAAGACTTGGAGAGGGAAACAAACAACTTCTCTCCAAGACATACAGAATAAGACACAGAAAAAATGTAAGAGACACATACACACACCTGACGCAAGTCGGGGAGCGAGAGAGAGATGCGACGCAAGTCACAGAGAGAGAGAGAGATATGATGCAAGTCAGAGAGAGAGAGAGAGATATGATGCAAGTCAGAGAGAGAGAGAGAGATATGATGCAAGTCAGAGAGAGAGAGAGAGAGATATGATGCAAGTCAGAGAGAGAGAGAGATATGATGCAAGTCAGAGAGAGAGAGAGAGATGATGCAAGTCAGAGAGAGAGAGAGAGAGATATGATGCAAGTCAGAGAGAGAGAGAGATATGATGCAAGTCAGAGAGAGAGAGAGAGAGAGATATGATGCAAGTCAGAGAGAGAGAGAGAGAGATGATGATGCAAGAGAGAGAGAGAGAGAGATATGATGCAAGTCAGAGAGAGAGAGAGAGAGATATGATGCAAGTCAGAGAGAGAGAGAGATATGATGCAAGTCAGAGAGAGAGAGATATGATGCAAGTCAGAGAGAGAGAGAGAGATGATGCAAGTCAGAGAGAGAGAGAGATATGATGCAAGTCAGAGAGAGAGAGAGATGATGATGCAAGTCAGAGAGAGAGAGAGATATGATGCAAGTCAGAGAGAGAGAGAGATATGATGCAAGTCAGAGAGAGAGAGAGAGATATGATGCAAGTCAGAGAGAGAGAGAGAGAGATATGATGCAAGTCAGAGAGAGAGAGAGAGATATGATGCAAGTCAGAGAGAGAGAGAGAGATATGATGCAAGATTGGCAAAATCACAGAGATAAAATGGAAGACAGTGAAAAGGAATGATGCACACACTCAGTGAGATATAAAGACAGCTTGTGACATACAGTGCAAATGTTTAAATGAGTAAATGAAAGAGAGAGTGAGAGAAAGATATGTAAAGGCAAGTGACAGGTCCAGCAAGGGAGATAACTGCTAACTGCAAATTACCAATTACCCAGTTCATAGGTCAAGTAAAAACAATTTAAAAGAAAAAAAAATTCCAACACATATCTGATTGATAGCTTCAGCTAATCTGTCCTCAAGAGAAATGATTGGATTTTCGCTTGGCAATCCTTCATGAACAGAATCACTTCATGCAGTAGACTTGGCCAACATTTTCACTGGTAATTACGCAGATATTTGGCAACAACACAAAGATCTAACAACAGAGTCCAAAGAGATACATTTCAGATAACTTTTTCTCTGACATTATTATTCTTATATATATATATATATATATATATATACACACACACACTGCACAGCTGTGTGTGTACTTCTCTCTATTTGTTAATTATTAATCTCTTACTGTCCCTAATTTATAAATTACACTTTATCATATATATATATATATATATATATATATATTGATGCAAGTTTCATTAAATAATATAGACAAGTTTTGTCTATTTAATGTAAATTCTTTTCATATCGTCTGATAAGCTTAATAGCATTATTAAAACAAACAAAAACTAAAACTTCTTGAAGCTATATACATAAAACAGTTGAAACCTAACGTGAACAAAATAAACTATGAAATCTCCACAAACATACTTAAATGCCTATAATTGATAACAGAAGCCATTGGTTTATACCAATGGCTTCCCATACTTAATACTTCTCATTTTCATACTTGCGTTGTAATGTGTGACGTCGATGTCATGAGCTGCGGGGTGATTTTCGTTTCCAGTATCTCATATGCATGAGTTTGTCGTTGCTTTTAAATCTTCCATGTAAACAAAAACAGACTATCATTATTGTTTTGTCCATGTATTGTTTAATAAATTGTAATGTAATTGTCATCTTTGATAATGGCTTATGTAAGTTGAAAGCTTAGATAGGATTAAAAAATATGTATCAATATTGTCATTTTCTTTCTTCTTTTAATGATAATGCTATTAAGCTTATCAGATGATATGAAAAGTATTTACATAAAATAAAGACAAAACTTGTCTATATTATTTAATGAAACATGCATAAGTGAAAAAATGCTGCCTAAATACACACACAATATATATATATATATATATATATATATATATATATATATATATATATATATATATATATACCAAATCCATAAGCTGAAAGGATAATCCAAGTAGGTTTTTAATATAAAATATTAAAAGATATCCATGAATAGAGCTCAATGTATTGTATACAGAGCAATATGATATACATCAAAAGGTAAAAACTTTACACATCTTGGAAAATCTGATAATAAATTTATTTCAGCAGCTAAGTTTTTTTTAATACAGCCTCATCAAACCAAAATTACAAAATGGTTTAAATTTATCCAAACAATGTTAAAAATTTTAGCAAATTGTCTGGATAAATTTAAACTTGCCAAAATTTTCCAAGATGTGTTAAGCTTTTCTTTTTATATATATATATATATATATGAGTGTCTGTCACTCACGCTACCCCTGACCACCCTCTATGTCACCTTATATAAGCTTAATAATGCCCTTCAAAAGTGTAAATTTTAAATTCATTTTTTCACCTTTGAAAGTTAAGTCTGAAGATCCAGAGAAAATAAAAATTTCTGGTGAAATAAATTATAACAATGGAGCCTTAAAGTATTATATATATATATATATATATATATATATATATATATATATATATATATATGTGTGTGTGTGTTTTTTTTTGTTTATTGGAATCACTACAAGCAGTAATGCCATTAAAACACAAAGGGTTACAGGATGAGAAAGAATTACAGACAGACACATTAATGATCATCAGAAAGAGAAGAGACTAATCAAGTGGACAGTAAAGAGCAATTGATATTGCATTTAAATTTTTGAAGATTTAAGTTGGTTGGAAAATATGGAGCTGGGAGGGAGTTCCACAAGTGAGAAGTGCAAGAAAAGAAAATGCTAGCATAGAACTTGTGGCTACATCTCAGCCAGCTCAACTGTAAATTGATGAGATTTCAACACCAGTCTAGTCACTCAGTTATGTGCCATGTGTGACACACGATTAGGCTTGTCAGTCCTGTATCCTTCAATACATGTCTGATGAGGCAAATTTCCCCCCCACCACAATAGGTTGCCATTTCTTCCTGCAATAGACCAGTTCCCATCCAAGGCTATAAAATCTGGTCTGTTCTGCTATTTACCCACAGATGGAGGGAGAAGAAGAAGATTCATACCTTTCCTAAAGGTATTAACACCTAAGTGAATGTAATGAATTTGACTGGAATTTGAACTTGGCTCTCCAATTACTCAATCCGAGCCTCTATCTATTACTCTACGATGCCTCCTCAGTCTAGTATTGAGCTTAAATTCAAAAACTCTAGATACCATAGTGAAGAGCTCATTTGAACACTTATCATGAAAGTATTTATAGAATTGTGTATTTAGGGTTAGGTACACTTGGCAGTTTCAGGCATCTAGTGATCTTTGGAACAAAGGCCTTACAGGTAAGGAATGGATGTCTTATTTCAAATTAGCATTGGTAAGAAAACAGATTTGATGCTATGAATTTAGTGCCCTTTCAAATCTAAGTTTATTGGCAACATGCAACAATATTTGGCAGGGAAGAAATCTAAGTTCGTTAGAATTAGCTTTAATTAACAACACGGATGTGTGGGTAGTGTAATGGATGGAGAGCATGGTCAGTATGAGAAATCTGAGAACAGAGTTCAAATTCTTGTCAGGTTCATTGCATTCACTTATGCACAAATACCTTTGGAAAAGGTATGAATCGATCTCTTCTCCCTCCAGCTATAGGTTAAATAGCACAGAGTGCTCTTTAACCATGGTTGGTAACCAGTCTAAGAGAAAGACAACTCTGAACTCAAAATCAGTTGGGTATGGGGCAAGCAACACCATCCAATAAACACTTATGATGGAAAACAAAGAATATAGTGAGTTTTGACCCTATACTTCTCAGGGAGTCTATCAGGATTTGAGCGTTAGTATGTAATTGTTAGCATTAGGGGTATAATTAAGTAAAAAAAAAATAAAATAAAAGGGGACTGTCATAAACTATAATTAGTTAATAGTATGCACTACTATTTCTCTAGTAGTTTTGTCTTCAAGGTCAGATTAGTTTAGCCTCCATCTGTACCAACTGCTATTTAGATGGCGGAAATATGCATATGAATACAACATTCTCCTCCGCTTTTATTTTATTTTTTGACAATATAAATTTGGAATGTTATTTTATTTCAGTGAAAGAAAAGGAATGCAGTTAAAAAAAAAAAAAAACAAAAAAAAAAAAACAAATCCAGTAATTTTTACTTTTTTTTTTTTTAAATTGTTTGATACCAAGTTTTTTTAGGTTCTTTAGTGATATGCTTAGAGCACCTTAGAGGATTTGGGGGCGGGGGGCATTTTTGCAGTGTTTGGGTTGGTGGAGTTCGAGGTTCATAGTTCAGCCTCTTAAATTGAATCACTGGACACTGCTTGTGGTATAGTATCTTTTGATTTTGCCATGTTATTTCTATCTGTTATGGTGGAACACACCTATTCTATAGTTAATAGACTCTCCCACCTATAATAAGTAGGAGTAGTGGGTCAGTCAGTGAGTCAGTCAGTGAGTCGATGTCGGACAACAGTTAGTCGAATACGAAAGTATCAGCGACCACAACAAAATTTCTCTGCGTAATACCTATTATATCAAGTTCCTAATGTTTTGTACGTCGAACCTATTTTAGGACTGACTTAGTACAAATACAGCTTCTACTGCGAAATAACTCCACAACACTATCCAAATTCTATATAGGACTATTTGAGACTATTGTAACTGCTTCATGTTTGGAGAGTCGTTCTCACTCTGTTAAGAGCGAGTTGACGCAGAGAAACAGTGCTTTCTTTTCCATTTGGTAACCGAACAAGAATGTATTCGGGATTCGCCTGAATCAGCTCAATTTTTTAGACTGTAGGCTCATACTTGTTGTACTGAACTTCGTTTTTCACAAACACTTTTCCAGGAATCATCAACCACGAAGTAACACATCTTCCGGAGGTAGATTTTCTTGGATAAGAAAGCACCCACTCATAAGAATTAAAATTCATCGCTGTACACAATATTCACTACTATTTCTTTAGTAGTTTAGTCTTCAAGGCCAGGATTAGTATTAGTTTTAGACACTAGCTGTATCAACTGCTATTTATATGGTGGAGATTTGCATATGAATACAACATTCTGCCCCTCTTTTTTTTTTTTTTTTTTTTCTTTGACAATGTAAATTTGGAACACTTTATTTCAACAAAAGAAAAGGAATGCAGTTTCAGAAACAAATTAATTTTTTTGTTTGTTTGATACCGAGTCATTTATGTTCTTTGGTGATGCACCTTAGAGGATTTGAGGGTGGGGCATTCTTGTAGTGTTTGGACAAGGGGAGTTACAGATTCCAGGTTCAGCCCCCTTCAGTTGAATCATTCGACACTGGTTGTGGTATAGTATCTTCTGATTTTGGTATGCTATTTCTATCCAAATTCCGTATAGGTCTATTTGAGACTATTGCAAATGCTTCAGGTTTGGAGATTGTCATTCCCTCCCCAGCTTGAGCAAAGTGATGTAGAGAAACAGTGCTTTCTTTTCCATTTGGTAACCTTGCAAGAGCATAATTGGGATTTGCCTGAATCAGTTCAACTTGTTCTGAATGTAGTTTCTCATAAGCACTTTGCCTGGAATTGTCAACTACGAAAGAACAGATCTACTGGAAATAGATTTTTCTCGGTTAAGAAAGCACCTATTCATGATGAGTACAATTCATGGCTGCACAGGGAATGAATCAAGTGGATTGTGTCAGATGAAATGGTTTCCCATTGATGCACAGGTAAACCTCAGAATTTTA